ATATATATATATATATATATATATATATATATAATTTGTTATTTTTAAAATCTAATCTAACCAATTCAACCATTAGTGAATTTGATGCAACCAAACCCTTCACTAATTCGTAGCCTCGTTCGATCCAAATGAAATTGGCACTAAGACCACTCCTTTCTCATATTAGGTCAAATAAAATGTTGTGTGTATTGTATAATTATAGGATTATATATAATGAGATTATTTATCTTTGGATTATGTACAATGAAACCATTGATCTTTATTACAAAGAGGTCAAGTTACTCTTTAGCTATTAGATGTTAAATTGGATGGCTTTGGGTGTGTCACGAAATATGAGAAATTCCTCTTTGAACTTTAAGTCTAGTTAGTGACGTTCTTACAATCAACTTTCTTGTACCTTAAGTAAATGGGGAAAGGTTTATATACTTCCCCTACGGTATAGAAGATCTATGCTTCCTCTACCATCCAGCCATCCAACTTTGATCAAGTAAACTACCTATTGTTTGATCTTAGATTCGACGCCTCAGAGTATTTTATTTTTAATTTTTTTATATAAATTGTATGAATATAAAATTTGGCACGTGCCGGCTTCTCATTGGGTCGCACTTACAAAAAAAATTAAAAAAAAAAATTCAATAAATTATAATGACCCAAATACCTTTTGAATCTTTCAGAGGTATTTTGGTCATTTGATTTTACGGGGAATTTTTTTATATATATTTTTACAAGTAGGAGTTTAATAGAGGATTGGACGTCCAAAATTTGATGTAAAAATATTTTATATAAAAATATTAAAAATAAAATAGTGTAGAGACGTGGCATGGTGATTGGGGCATTCTTAGCCCTCCATTCAGAATGGACTGTTGGATAAGGGGAAAGATATAAATTTTATGTTGTAGGAGAAGCATAGAAAGCTTGCCCAAGTAAATGATCGCTCAACAAACTTTTCGTAGAAATAATATTCTATAAGAGACTCTTGAAGTTCAGTACAATGGATGGTTGAGATCAGTTTTTCTTTGAGTGAGCAAGACTAACTTTAAGAGGTTCAGAAGCTCTTCTCAATGTCCCAACTGTGTTGTACAATAAGGGACTTGATGGGGGGAGTGCTTTATCTCAACAATGTTTTGTTGGGCTTGGGCAATTGGGACTTCAGGCATGCCCTTTGTATGTCACTATGTGTGCCATACAATCACATGGGAAAAGGAAGAACCGAATATACCTTCAAATGGTTTTTCTTTGTTCTCCATATAAAGTTCGTCTCCAAATATAGGAATTTTTGCATATATATTATAGTCCAATAGCGGTATTGTATACGCGGCTATATTTGTGCACTATCCATGCCTAATTGATATTACAGGTACGTTTGGTTGGTGTGAACGGTAAACTTGCCATATACATTTTCGGTAATGGAAAAAAGCATTAAAAACAAAACTCAAAACCCTCGGTAAACCATTTTACCTAAAATGGTCCATTTTATATGAAAACAAAACCATACCTCAATCAAGGAAGCATTCCGTGGTTTTTATTTTCACAAACGAACCAGTAATTGCTACTCACGATTTACAGTATAATATATTATGTAATAAATAATATATTTAATATAAATGATATTTAATTAGTATTTAAAATATTGGATAATATTTTATATTAAACAATATATTGGTTTATATTAATATAAAATATTATTTATATTTAATATATAATATATAAATAATATTTTATATTAAACATTATATTAGTTGATATTATAGTTTTTTGAGTAAATGAATGTGACCTTCATATAAAAAAGATAAACGGTCTCTTGTAGACAATCTTATATATTATATAATATATAAATAATATTTAAATGGTAATTAAATAAATATAACTATATAGTTTTTAGTTATAATATATATATATATATATATGAAAAAAAAAATTCAACGTTTATACGTGAAAATGAATAGTGATTTCACCTACTCTCATCACCATCCAAATTTCATCGTATAATCACGATTGTCTGGTAGTGTTTTATTTTTTATTTATTTTTTATAAATTGGAATGAGCTGAAATTTAGAGGGTATGTACATCTTACTGAGGCGCATCTAATAAAAATATAAAAACAATTATCTGCAAAAAAATAAATTGACCAAAATACTTTCGAAACTTTTCGGGGGTATTTTGGTCAATTTTTTCAAGTAAAATATTGATTTTATATTTTTGGAAGATTCTTCTATTTTTTATGAGTACACGCTTCCTAAAATTCGAAAGCTTCAGCCTCTTCAACCGAATTGAAGCGAATTTGACAACACTGGTTTTATGCATTGGAGTATGCAAATCCCTTGTCCCTGAACACATCAAACATACATCTTAAAGATAGGGGTGGCAATGGGCAGGTGGCCTCGCCTTGCTCAGTCCTAAAAAGTGCTACTGCGTGGGCCACAAAGGGTGGCCCGAACGCATGGCCAGGACCAGGCCATGAAGGCTTGAGGTGGGTCCGCCCCATGCATGTGCTATGGTATGACAAGGTTGACCTGGATCGGATATGTCTTACCCTTTTTCTTCATTTATTTTTCCCTTAATTTTCTTTGATTCTATTGACCCGGGTCATAATATGGCCAAATTCGAGCCGGGCCAAGCCTTGGCAGGCCCTAGGGAACTGGGGCTGCCTTGGGTGGCCCGGACTAGGCCCATCCTATTGCTAGCCCTAAAGATAGATGTAAAGTGGCGATCCCTCCTAGAAAATAACAAGGGTTTAAAATTTTTCCTCAAGAAGTTATCATTTTTTGTTTTATTTTGTTTTACATATCAATGATCTTAGTTCAAAGATTATATATTCCTAAAAAGTTTGGTACAAAATCCAATTCAAAACCAGATAATAAAGAGGGGAATGTCCTACAAATGATATTGGGGATTCATAAAAGCCATGCCCTAAACATTTCGTGTTCCTGTGGGAACACATCCTAGGTAAAAGTATAAAACCCATTTTAGGAGTATTTCTAGGATTTCAAATTTTGGTGTAACCTATTCTATCTTGCGACCTACCTTCAAACAAAAACCAAAAAGCGATGGAACACAAATTTTCACGTTCATTTTCAGTTGCGAAAAAAAGTGGTGTCCTAAATTGAATAGGAATTTCCTAATTTTTAGATAATCAAATTCAACTATTTCGGAACTCAAAACCCAATCTCTTTTATGTGAAAATACTGAAATTATTCTAAAGGGGATTATGAGATTTTATAGCCAAATGAAGCCGCACAAAAAGTTATCTCCTCCACGATAGTAGCTAGGGGGCGTATTCCCACGCGTGGCATTATATTTTGCCAAAAGATATTCTACCCCCTCGGGAGTATATTGGTCATTTACTCCCCAGGTAAAACCTACGATTAATTTAGTACCCAACTTTTGGGGAGATAACCTCTTAACACATTGATTAACATCAATTAAAAATTTTTCCTAAGTGCACCCCTCACATACTTGAAAAGCATAATGTCTCATGATTGAATAGAAACATCAATTTTTAGAGGGAGAGATCTAAGTGGTATAAAACTTCTTCTTTTTTTTGTGAATAATCATCTGAATTGTAAGGTAGTTACCAAAATTTTCAATTAAAAAAATTCCTCCCAAGTAATCATCTGACTGACTGAGGGAGTAAAAGTAAACCATACTCCCTCGAGAACATAGTATACCTGCTCTAATATTTTACTGGTTTTCTCTTCGACTATTGGATATTCGTGGTGGAGTGAGTGAGAGAGAGAGAGAGAGAGAGAGAGAGAGAGGGGAGGAACGACTCTTGTCTGCCTCGTAAATGAAAACGAATATAAACAAAGTTATTAATTTTTGAGAAGACAAATATCATGCCATCGTTGAATGTATTTGGGGTGGAGATTCGTGTTAAATAAGTTTCGCGACCTCTGGAGCTCCCAAGGGGCCGCGTTGTTATAAGGGCAAAGGTTATTTGGCGGTACATAATTTCATTAAAGGCCCTTACCCTACATTGGACACATTAGCCACAAAATTTCACTCGAAGGAACAAAATTTAAGTGGTGACGGCTTCCTCAGATATTTTGTCGATTTGTTGTGAGGCCACTTTCAATGAAACCGCAATCGAGATTTCATAGAATCCTGGCCCTGACAGGACCAAAGAGGCTAGGCCCTGTCGGGACCAAAGAGGCCATGGTTCAGGCCTGGGCCAAAGAGGCCATGGTCCAGGCTTGGGCCTGGGCCTTAGCAGAGTAGGGCCTAACCGGGCTAGCCCTATCTTGGCCCAGGCCCAACCTGGCCTGGCTCGGCCCTAAGGCTTGGCGGCTTGGCTTTCAGATCACATCTTATGGCCCAAGCCTTAAATTTTTGGGGCCGGGCCACCCAGCCCATTGCCACCCCTGTACTAAGCCTTAGGGATGGGGTTGGGTCTTAGTAAGAAGTGAGCAAAATGAAAATTTTGGCAAATGGGAAGATAGTTGGTGAGGCTTTGAATTTTTGGTCAATTGTTACTTGGCAAACCTCAATCTCCATATCAATAAGAAACTGTCAATAGTCTTTAATTTGGATGAAGGCCTATCTAAAGCAAATAAATGTCACACTATTGGATATTATCTTAACCAAAAAAGAAATTTTTTTATATAAAATGGTAACTTTATTTGTATAAATGAGGTTGTCATACAGTGTTCATTTTACATCGTCTTAAAAGTGTGTTTATTTTTTGATACTATCTAAGAAGACGTGCTGATATTAATGTTTACTCAAATCATTGCAACCTTACTTGTGCAACTGAAGTTGCCACATTATATAAACATCGGAGATATGCATTCTTTCACATATTCTGAGGGTTTATGGCTCTAGTGGTTTGCTCTTTCACATTGGGACCATTATCCATGATTGATGTACAAAATTTATCAAAATGCATCTAACGTACTGACTATTTAACATGTTACCCATTTTCACCTTCTTTGACTCATATGATCATGTGTATTTGGTTTTTTGAAATTAACTAAAGAGGTATAGTAAAATGTCAAATAGTTCATCTCTTAGGGTCATTTTGATCGATTTCCCTTGCAAAAGAGAGTCCTTATGATAAAAGAGGGAAAAAACAATTGACCTTGGCTTACAATTATATATAACCTTCTTGGGCTTTATTGGTTAAGACCTGGACAATTGCTACACTGTATCCAAGTTAGAATCTTACTATTAAATTATGAAAAAAATAACCAATGTGATGTAAAGATTGTTTGTCTGATGATTAAATTGCAGGTGCAAGCCATCATTTATCTTGCTGGGAAGTCAGACTCCTTACAGCAAACTAATGTTATCAGAACGGGACCGGACCAATGCATAGCATCTGCTGCAAGCCCCTCATTGAACGATCTCCACAGTAGACGAATCCACCCAACTTCAAACATCACCACTTCTCAGTCTCTTCGTGTTGCAACTTCCCTTCCTGTTGGGCCTCATTCAGGTAGCCATTTTAATAGAACTGAAGTTATTTTCAATTTCATAATAGAGTTATGGAGCCATAGATAACAACATTTTGGTTTATGGCTTAAATCAACATTTCATTTATCTCCATAGAACTGTGCTCATTTCCTAGACATCTTAGGGAACAACACAGAGGGCATTTCTTTGAAGTTTTTGACATCTTGGGTTTTGGAGATTTTCTTGAACTTACTAGTGGGAAGATCTCAAGTCTGACAAAACTAAAGAAGTAGAGAATTTACTTCTGATGTGGGGTTGTGGTCCTTTGGTATTTATAGTGCAAGGGCCACAACAAAACGTCCAAGGATCCAATCCATGTTTTTCTCATATAATGCAGATATGTTGTGCAAGATGATTTTGGTACAAGAAAGTGATAATCACTGTAGCAATTTACTTTTGGTACAAAAACCAGATAATCACCCCCAGCCATTAGATATGAAATTGAGCTGGGGTGTGCCTTTTTTCCTACACATAGTTTGGGAGTATTTTTCTCGAATTTTGTTACACACTTCTAACTGCCAGATTTCAATCCAATGGCAAGGTCAAGTGTCTTAAAGTATACGATCCCTGGTATAAATTCAAATCATGGCTCAATTGGGGTCTAAAGATCTGTATGTTCTTAAATTTTGACGGTGCACATTGGATAACTCACTTTGAGTTTTCTATTTTATGTTATTATCATGTTTTGTGTGTAGTTAGTTTATCGTCTCGTAAAAAACCATGTTGTTGATACTAGGCCATCCGCCCTGAAAGAGCAGGGAATTTGGGTTTTCCATCACAGTTTTGAGAATTCTTGAAAGTCCTTTCTAAGGAAGAAGGATCGTGCCCCCATGATTTATTACACAAAATGCATAATATCGCACACTCCCATTCAAGCTTTGATGGAACACTACAGTTTGTGGTTGTTTCCTTACATAGGGTTAATGCATTTTTGCATCTATTTACTTATAATTGATAGTGTTACAGGAATAGGCTAAGGCTAGTTTTTTAAAATGGCATGGTGCCGCAACATGATATCTTGAGTTCCATTCACATAAATAGGCATTTATTGGCTCATGCATAAATTTGAACTCTTAATTGCTAAGTTTTATTTCAAGATATGCACGTGTATAAATGGACAGTTTTGAGTAAAGTTTGAGGTATTTCACTTCCCTATGGGCTAATAGTAAAAATTATATACTACCCCTGCAGAGGTTCCTAAGACGAGGAAAACCTCGGTGCAGCGATTCTTGGAGAAGCGGAAGGACAGGTATATTTTCGTTCTAGGAAGATACCTAATCAATCCCAATTCATTTATTTCACCAGAATTGCCACACCGCTAAGCCTTCCCTCCTTTTTCTTAAGGGAGTGGCATTTTTTCTTTACTCTTCATGTGACAAAAGAAAAAAGATTCAGGGGAACCAACAAGCAAGAGAAAAAGTTTAGACTTAAGGGACCTAACAAAAATAACCAGTTTTGGAAAGTGAGACTCGGGCCGGGTGCTCGGCCCAGGCCCGAGCCGAGTGCTATGCTTGTTGGGTTGAGTTCTGACCAAGACCAAAAAGTACCGGTCTTGGTTTCCATTCCTACCCGTGTTAACTCCTTTGATAAAAACTTACTAACCCTACCAACAGTCAACGTTAAAAAAAAAAAAACTAGAACATTCAAAGAATAAGAAAATATGTTTAAAGTAAAATTAAATAAATCACATCTATATAAGGTTAAAAAATAGTGAAAAAAAGGATTTTGAAAAACTCGAGTTTGTGACCGTAAGTGTTTTAAAAATAATCTATAAAGAAGGAAAAATTTAAAAATAAGTATTTATGGCTAAAATATTTTCCAATCAGCCGAAATGATAGAAAACATAGAAAAAATATATTATTAATAAATTTCATATTTTTAAAATTATTTATTCTTATTTGTTTTTTAAGATCCTCAAGTTGGACAACCAACTCAGGCACGTCCAAGCTGGCTTGCCCGAGTAATCAAACACTTGAAAATAACCATATGTCCGATTGAGCTCAACCATTTAGAGAGGAATTTTGGTTCCAACTTCTATCCCCCCATAAAATCTAGTTAGATCGCCAATTCTGATCCTTTAGAATAGGCATCCAAATGACAAAAATCTTAAAAAGAAATACATAATTGGGGCTATTACAAATTCCTCGAGCTACCTTCTGATCCTAATCCTGATCCCCGCTTGGGCAATTCCTAGTTTGGATTGATGGTTTTTCAAACACTAAGCATGCAAAGGGTATGAATTTATATATTGTAGAGATCACATTTCCATTTCCTTCTGGTTGTGTAAGGGAAATGGAACCATCTAATTATAATGATGAGTATTAGTTGGCAATGGGCCAGGCCTTGCCCTAGTGGTGCCCTTCCGGCCTTCGCCCTATCAGGGGCAGGGCCAGGCTAAATTAAATGAAAGAAAAAAAACAAAAAGAAGATAACAAAATAAGAGTTGTGTTGGGCCGGGCTTAGCCTAATCTTGGCCCTTGGGCCACATTTTGTTACCGAGGCCCTAGTAAAACATGGGAACCCGTTCCATGCATAATGGGCAGTGGGACATGGAAATTAGTCCTGAGGGATCACAAAACAACATGAAATATGCAGAAACTTGAGGAATTTTCTCATGTTACTTTGGAATAGGAGGCACGAGGTGGCTAAAACTTGTAATTGTTCACCATTTTAAAATAAAAATAAAACCCCCAGTCTTTCTTGGACAAATGGATGCAGAAGCGTATGCCTTGCCTTGTACAAGTTTATTTATGAAAATACCAAAAAGAAATTAATTGGCATTTTGAAATTAAATCATAAGATATGGTTAAAGTATTAATTTGTTAATATTTGATGGGTACGTTAATAAATTTCCTTTATTTATTTTTATTTTTTTATAAATTTAACTATTGTTTAACAAAAAGCTACCCACATCCTAACCCAATTGAGTTTTGATAACAAGTCATATACGGCTGGAAGTTACGAGCCTTTGAATAAGCAGTGGCTTTAATAATTCTAGAAGAAGGCGTTGCATGCGCAAATTGTACAACTGTGTTTCTTTATCCAAAATTTTGGGATTCATTTACCATCAACTGCTAAATAATTTTTTTCTCTCTTTTATTTTATGGCATCTTCTTATATACCTGGGCCAAACCTTCAAAAATTGGACTGTGTGTGAATTTTTCAAAGCACTTCTAAAGTGAAACTAACTATGATTTTCTTTTTAGGTTTGTCGCTAGGTTTACAACATAAAGTATCCAAAAATTTGGGGTCCAAAAATTACTTCTAACTTAAGTTTTATGCAAGCAAGCAAACGGAAATATTACTTCTCGGCCTAACTCACTCTCTATGGACAAACCTTGTGGACGAGCCCTTAGGATTTCAGGGCATTGTATGATTTCATTAATGTTTGTCTTACTCAAGACGACAAAATAGGGGATCCATCCCCATTGAACTACACAAACAGAAAATGAAAAAAAAAAAAGAAAAGAAGAAGAAATACTCAGCGAGAGCATAAAACTTATTCAGTTTCCACAATTTATGATGATTATTTTTCCCCGTTGTCTCTCTTTTACACTGATATAAACGAACTAAAACGACATTATTTATCCAGGGGGCGCTTGAAGGGAACATTGGCGAGTGGTGGGAGCTCTAAGAGGGGTTCCTCATGCCTAGAATTGTATGCAACTTCAAGATTAAAGAGTGAGGGGGTGGCCACGACTACAACTCAATCCAATATGAACAATGTGGTCGTATCACCTTCTAACCCAAGAATGCCTCTAAATCCCGGGAGTTGCAGCTGGGTTGAGAACTAAGGACTCCCATTTCAAGAGACTTAACGACCAAGATATATTTGGAATACTAACCCCAACAGTTGATTCATAACTGGTTGTAGATCCCAATTTTATGTCTCCCACTGTATCTTACCGAAAAGTTGGTGGTTGTTGGGACATTCTCCTGATAAAAAAAGGAATGGGCTCTCTGTTATGCAATTTTTCTATCTACGAACTGCACCTTCACCAAGCATGGGTTTCTTTTTCAAAAAAAAAATTTGTTTCTAAGGTCGATGGAATTTCCCAACCCCCTTAAAAAAATAGAAAAAAAACAAAAAGAAAAAAAAAGAAAAGAAAAAGGAAGTGTAAGTGATTGCAGCTGGAAATTGATTTCGTCTACTTTCTCAGGACTGTCCACATGCCATTAGCCACAGGAAGCAAAATTAATTGGGAAATTATATTAGAAGACAATTCTTTTTTGGCACAAAGAGCATACAACCCACCTTGGACCCTTGGGCCCTTAGACATAAGCCACGTTATTGACTAAGCTCCATAGTGCAAAGGAAATTTTTTTGAGTTGTGTGATACACCCCAAGTTGTTGGATCCAACCGTGATAGTTAAGAGTGATTTTGATTTTTTTGTATAAAAAATAAATGATCTTGCAGTCTACGATCCTAAATTAATTTCATTTAGATCTCGTCTAATTTCTCAACTAAGGTATCCACTTGCCATTGGCTTATTAGCCACATAAAGGAAAAGTTAATTTCATCTAATTTCTCAACTAGAGTATCCACTTGACATTAGCCCCCCCCAAAAAAAAACGCAAAACTAATTTCCTCTGGAAACTGACTTCATCTAATTTCTCAACTAGAGTACCCCATGAACTTCCTAACAAAAGCCTAAAGCTTGGTTTTCCCACCTTCGGGTTCTTAAAAATTTACTTCAAAAAAGTTCTTTCCTAGAAATAAAGTATCTTTAATGATTTTGACACTCAAATTGGCGGAAAAGTTTTCTGTTATCGCCGCTTTCACTTTACTTTTCGGAAAAAGATATTCCGCTTAAATAGGTATAGAGACACAGTTTCTATGCGGCCAGCCCTTGTAGAAATGCGGGCTTGGCAGTAAATATATATTTTAAATATAATTTGATCCTATTTTTGGAGAATATATAAACTTTAACATGGAGATTATGAATATGAAAAAAAATAAAAATAATAATTAAAAATTAAAAATAATAATTATATTAAGAAAATATTTGAACGGTTAGTTACAATTGTTTTTGATGAACCACCTATTTGCATTCGTTATACTTTTGGGCAGCGTATTTTAGAAATTCGGTCCAGCCCTCATCAAACAATTTTCTTAGGTAGAGTGTCCAATTCTTGCTTTACTTTTGAGAAAAAGATATTACTATTAAATAAGTAGAAAATTTATTCTTTTGAGAAAAAAATATTACTATTAAATAAGTAGAAAATTTACTCTAAATTAATCTTCTCCATTCCAAATCGTTTCTAATCCACAGATTCATGCTCTCCCTCTTCCCCTCTAAGCCTCCGTCATCTCCCTCTCCTTCAGATTTTCAACAATTCTTTTGTTTTCCAAAGAGCCAAAAGGGACCCTATTGATGAGTGGCGTAGCGCCTGGTTTGTTTTGAAGTATGTCCAATATTTTCTCAAGAATTAATTTAATTTGGAAACCAAAACCCAAACGATAAAGGTGGAATCTCTTTCTGTTAAAAATTGGAAAGAAAACAAAGGAAAATATTTTGTGCTCGCATCTCATTCCATCTAAAATTGAAAAAACAATACTAAAAAATGTAAATGAGGACGTAAAGATAAAGGCTTAAGTAGTTAACGCTAAAGGGTTAATTAGTTAACGCTCTAGCATGAATAAACAAGGATTCGTTTATTTTTTCACCTAAAAAGTCTCATGTAAAATCCCAAGACTTTGGTATAATGGTATGTATAATTCAATGAAAATCCCTGAAAATTTGAGGTTGGGATTCATGCTAACCAAACACAACTATTCTGTCGCTATTCTGTCTATGAGCTTCAATAAAAACGAGCTTTTCAACAACTCATGCCGAGACCCAATACGTGTGATTTTTAAATATTCTTCAGAAATTCCCACTGTATCATCTATGTACATAAATTATTTTTTAAAATTGCACACATTTTTTATTGGGTGTGGTTTCTATAAAGTTGCAATCTTAAACAAAGGCGCACGTCCAAATTTTGTCATAACATGTAATTTTTGTTGTAAAAAATTCTTAAAATTATTTTAAAATCTACTTTTATATCTAATTAAAAAATTGAAATTCCAAAACTAATTAAAATCAAGTAGATCTATAAACATATGAAAATCTTGAAAATAGACGATCTAGATAATGTGTTTTGCAATATGTACTATTTTTAGGATTCAATTTTTTTTTTTTTTTTAATATCCATACATCTCAATGTCAAGATGATCAATTAGAGGGTTTTTCAACATTAAAACAACATTTGCGATAGAATTTTTAGCTGCATATGTAATTCAACCTTATATAAAATTTTTCCTTTTTTATTTAAAAATAAATTCAACCTTATATAAACTTTTTCCTTTTTTATTTAAAAATAATTATTGTGAGTTTAAAAAGATTTAAATTTTTTAGAAATACTTGAGATAAGAGTTGTGTTTTCCCTAACGCTACTTTTTTTTTTTTTAACTCATATTTTGCCAACATTGGAGAGAGAATCTATGATTTGTTAAGAGTTAGAGATAGGGATGGAGATATAGAGGTTCTAAATTACTCTTAGGAGAGATTTTTTTTAAAAATTGCAGGGGAAGGGACATTCAAAAGTCACATAACTTTTTATTGTTGGTAATTAATTAGCATAAATTCAAACATTACTAAAGTTTACAAAATAGGGCATATTCTATGATCTCAGCGACTAGGCAACTGGGCAAGGGTGAGGGCGTGGTCTTTGCCCGGATTACACTAAACACGTTATTAATGTTTACGAATCATTTGCACCGAATCATAGAATATATGTTTATACATAATAATGTGCACCGAATCCTACAATATTTGTTTATACATAATAATATGCACCGAATCATAGAATATAAGTCTGTTAGACTCAAATCAACATGAATCTTATTGCTTTCCCTGTAAAAAAGGATTCCCAAATAATAACAAAGCATAAACCACAACGAATAACAAACAAAGGACAAATAACAAACAAAGGATTCCCAAATAATAACAAAGCATAAACCACAACAAATAACAAACAAAGGACAAATAAACAAAGGATTCCCAAATAACAAAGCATAAACCAAAATTTTGATACCAGTTGAAGACCCATAAGATCAACCATTATAATAATAAACCAAAATTTTGATACCAAGTTGAAGACACATAAGATCAACCATTATAGAAGTGGTTTCTAAAAAAATTTGATAACCAAGTTGAAGACCCATAAGATCAACCACTACAGAAGTCCGAACAAATTCAAACAAAGAATTCCCGAAGTCAGAAAAAATTCGGTCAAAGGATTCCCCAAATAACAAAGCATAAACCAAATTTTGATACCCAAGTTGAAAAACCATACGATAAACAATTGAAGTCCTTTCCATCAAAACATAAACCAACTTAAAAAAATTTGATACAAAGTTGAAGACCCATACGATAAAAAATTACAGAAATCCCTTCTATCAAAAATTAGAGAAGTCACTTCCATCAATACGACATTGATGGAAATTCAAACAAAAAAGACGACAGAACAACTAAAAGCAAGAGAAAGGCTCAACTTTATCGCTGCTGCTGCTTATTCATCAAACGGAACAAACCGAATATAATCACGATGGTCTTCTGCATCAGTTTCAACATGAATGCTGATGCACCCGAGAGCCCCTTTACTCTTGAGTTCAAGAGAGTCGTCGTGGGTATACTTGTGGATCAAGTGGGCTGTGTTGTGTTTGATGGCCAACAACACAATGTCACCCACCGTTATGGGTATCTTCAGCATCTTCAGCTCCGTGTAGCATATGAATTTGGTGTAATCAGGGCACATGACCTCGCAACTCCCCCCGCTAAACACACGAAGAACCCGAGCATATTCTTCACCCTTCTTCTTCTCCTTCTTCAGACCTGCAATGGCCTTCCTCTTCCTCTTCTTCTCGTTCTTGAGACCTGCAATGGTGGTGTTTCCTTGACCTCCATCACTTGCAATACTGATTACTCCATCGCGCATACTGATTTCCTCCTCTGCTATACTGATTTCTCCTCCATCACCATTCTTGGAGGGCTTACTGATTTCCTCCTCTGCCATAGGTTCTTCTCTCTTCAAAGTATTAACTTCTCTTCCACAAGGGCTTTCGTTTCTCTTCCACAAGGTTTTTTTCTCTTTTCCACGAGGTTTTCTTCTCTCTTCCACGAGGTTTTCTTCTCTTCCACAAGATTTTTTTCTCTCTTCTCTCGTTTTCTTCTCTTCCACAAGGTTTTTTTCTCTCTTCCACGAGGTTTTCTTCTCTTTCCACTCTTCTCTTTCCACAAGGTTTTTTTCTCTCTTCCACGAGGTTTTCTTCTCTTTCCACAAGGTTTTTTTCTCTCTTCCACGAGGTTTTCTTCTCTCTCGTTTTCTTCTCTTCCTCAAGGTTTTTTTCTCTTCTTCAAGGTTTTTTTCTCTCTTCCACGAGGTTTTCTTCTCTCTGGTTTTTTTCTCTCTTCCACGAGGTTTTCTTTTCTCTTCAAAGGATATGAAGACGTTGGTACAGGGTTAAATATATAGTTTTTTTTTATCGTATGAGAATCTAAATTCGCATAGAAACAGGTACCTCTATAGAGAGGAGGGATCGCTTTTCTTTTTAAAGAACTTTCCAAAAAAAATAAGGAAATTTCTTTTTAAAAAACTTCCCAAAAAAAATAAGGGAAGATAAGTTCTATATATTGGATATCCCCCAGATTTAAGGACAGAGTATCTCAAAAGACAGACGTATTCTGAAAGATAAATATCTCTCCAAGATTTAAGCAAAGACAGGGGACGAATTTCAAGCTCTTAACCTCTTTCTAACTCACATCAAAATCAAAGTTATCTATATGATATTGATCTAACCAAAAGTTCCCCAAAATAAGAAAAGAGATAGGTGACAAATACAAGTTAAATTACAATGAATTAATACTAATATATACATTATACAATTATATACTACGTATATCTAGTATAATCATGTATAATTATCTCAATAAATGATGTCTAG